AGTGGGGTAAAATCCCACAATTTAAAATTGACGAGATGATTCTCACAATGCTCCAAAGGATCAACGAACTCCACGAAGCAAAAGGAAGATTATAACATCTGTATATATATATATATAAATACTAGCCAACATGCACTGCATATACATGCATGTATAAAACTCGTGCTGTTACAAAATACAGTCCATGCACCATTCCAGTATAGTTCAGTAGTTTCTCCAATCCAGTGTTTACAGACTCTCCATATAGCTACATATATTTTATAAGCATATAGATAACATGTGATATGTTGATTACCATGCATCATAGATCCTATATGCAGTATCACTATCAAAGATAACATTGTGGCAATGATATCAGGAGCAATACCCATCCTATCTGCAAGAAACTAATCCAAAGGTTGTCATTGTTTCCCGAGAGAGCATCGTACACCAACTACGTATTTCATCAAACTAAATTGCTTCAACTAGGACAGTATTACTATTATATACATTTATCCCATAATGGCCATAAAAAACAACAAATAAAGAAACAAGATTATTCAAAATTGTTAATTTAAAAAGACGTAATAGGGGTTTTCAAAAATTTTAAAAATAAGATAGATAGCTTAAAGTAAAAATGCAATCGCATAAAAGAGTAGACAAACAAACTAAATATTATAGTTTTCAGATATGGAGTCAAAATTAGGACCTGTAACATGAGGAAATAATGTCAACACTATGTCTCAAACCTTAAGCTTTTTTGTTTACTTTTTTGCGATTACTAAATTTTACAGCTTCCAGACATGGAGTCAAAATAATGATCTGTAACTTGAGAAAATAATGTCAACACTATGTCTCAAACCTTAAGCATTTTTTGTTAACTTTTTTTTGCGATTGCATTTTCATTTTTATCTATCTACCATGTTTATGTATTTTTTGAAGATCCATATACCTTCTTTTTAAACTAACAAGTTTTAATAATATTTTACTAATGAATTTGTTAATATTTAATGTTCGTTAGGAGGGAGGTGGTGTAGCATTTAATCCAATTAGAAATGTATAATTTAAGTTTTAAAACCAAGTAATGGAAAGAAACTACGTAAACTATAACCAAAATCGTAACTACGAATAAAACATAAACTGCTACCTCACAGTGTACCATAATATTCTTGAACCTATTGAAAGTGAGCCAGAAATATATAATTTCGAGTCGTATTAAGTTAATTTATTTGAGGTGACGGTTCATAGGCTATCTATTATTAACGTCAGTCTGTTCTTTCATTTCAAAGCACGATAAGAGATACGTAGTGAACTTTAGTTTTCTGTGTGTGATAATGAAGTAATATAACTTAATAATTCGGTGTTTGTCGAGAGTTATACTCACAGCTGAGTAAAAATAATTTTTAAGGGTTTATTATTCAAACTTTCAATCAAAGTTAACGTTCACGGTTTAGGTGTTATTAGCACTAGTATTACTATTAGTAATACACGCTGTACAGTGTACTGAACCTTCTTCCACTGCTCCAGGTAATTGGATGTATTTTATTTACTTTTAAGTTTAACAATAATAACGTAATATTTAACTTCTAACAAAATTTCAGGATATTAAAAAATCATATATTTACTTTGATCATTGACATAACTAGTCGAGCCTTTCCTAAAAAGTAAAAAAAAAAAAAAAAGGAACTTACAAGAAATATTAGTATGTGACTCATGTATCCAATTCCTTATTTTTCTTTTTAAACCCTTGGAGATTATCTGGCTTAGGATTCTCTTTATTCTTCAAACTTCTCAATTTTTTTCTTAATAATTTAATTGATTTGATGCTCTTCTTCATCAATCATGTTTCCTTCTAGTAGCAACTGTTCAGGATGAGAAATACAGTTTAAATTTTCATTAGTAAAATCTGAAGAAAAAGTGTAATTTAGTAACTCAAACATATAATCATCAGAAATAAATCATCCACTTTCATACCTCAAAGACCTAATCCCATACTGACATTTTGTTTATCTTTGATGTATTTAAACAACAACAAAAAAAGAAATCCTTATTATTAATTTTTATGTTTTCAATCAACCTTTTAATCATATTTTCTTTTTGGTTGCCTAATATCTTGTTTTAGTTAACTGTCTTAATCTCCTACAATCTTCTAACTCTTCCATCATATTTGCCAATTTAAGCTTTAAAATTTGTATTGCTTTTTTAAAATTTTATTTGTTATCCTTTTTTTTTTCTATAAGGAACATGCCTATCTTGAATATATATAAAAATGTATTTTTGAATATTTTTCACATGTGATGAATATCTACATTTAATTCAGTAGCCCAATTCACAGTTGACAGTTCTTGTTACATCCCTTAAAAATTTATTTTCTTGAAGTTTGTAACCAAAATCTAATTATTCCTGATATCCGTGTGCAAAAAGACATCAAACCTAATTGAACAGTAATTATTTGGTGATAGAACTGCCCAAATACTGGTATTTGCTAATCAATAAAATAATGGCCTCATTAATTAATTATTACAGTATTCCTCAAAGTAAAAAAAGTTGATGGTGGGTCCTGCCAGCCAGTTACTTTCCTTCTAGTCAGTATTTCAAAATAAGTGACAGTGAAAGATAGCCTTAGTAGCCTTGTCATAACAAACACAAACCAAGAAAGTTTGTTGGTAATATTTCAATTATTTGGACAGTTGAAATAATCAAAATTAGTAATGAAATTCTAATTTTGATTAGTTGATTATTTTCATGACAATTGATTTAATTTTAATTTTGAGTAATTGATTGCTGGAGTATTCAAAAAGGGTAATAATTGAAAACCCTGATTATGATTCTTTGATGATTTTTGTAACAATTGATATAATCGGAAGTTTAGTTAATCAATTATTATAATAATCAAGAGCAGTAATAATTAGAAAAACTAATTTGGATTAATCGGTTAGTTTGTGACATTAAACAATGTGATTGCTGCTCATAGATATTGTTTTATCAATTAATTAATTACCCAACTGTACTTGCTGATATAAGCAAGTTTTTGCATTGTGACCAGAGTTACTTAGGACATTACATAAATATGTAGATTAGATGATATTTGACAGCCAACAAGTGTGTTAAGTCACATGCATAAGCATTTGGAAAATTTGTTGCAAAATTTGTCTTCTTGATACTAACCTTAAGGTGTTTAATATGTTGTAGTGTATATTGTCAGTTGGATGTAACAGTATATGAGTATATCCATAAAGTATCAACAGAAAGTAACTTAGGCTTCAGCTATGACAGCTCAGTTGGCATAGAACTTATTCAGTAAAACAAGAGTCTTGGTTTTCAATTAAGGCTGCTGCAACATACCCTACATTCTGCCACCATCATAGTAGTCAGAAAAGATTTCCTATTTTGCAGGATAATATAAATGATATTCTTTCTGTTTGATCAAAGTGTTTTAGTAGAAAATATTTTGTTTGTATTGCAGGCATTCAATCATGCAGGAGGAGACAGGAAAAGTGTGTACAAAAATGTTTCACAGTGAGTTCATCAGGCGGGTGTCTCTGTTGCCTGTAATGCAGTCTGCTTTGAGTTATGCAACAACCACGTATGATTACCTGAAAGAATCTTCAAGTTATGTGAAATGTACTCTTACAACAGCAGAGAAATCTCTAAATTTTGCTCTAGACCAGGCAATACCTTTGGTTGAAATGTTTGAAATGCCCAGTAAGTTTAGAAGTTTATCAATAAAAAGTGTTTTGTTATGTAAGTTTACTAATCACAACACTTTAGTAAAAAGTACTGACTTAATGAAACTTGTGATTTATGTATTAATGTATTATGTACAATAACATTGTAACTGGTTTCCTAAACCAAATCATCAGAGTATAAAGATTATTTGGCTTAAGCTTGGGATGAATACTGGAGACTTTCTATATTATTTTTTGTTTTTCTTTGGTATTGTAACATCAATTGACTACATACAGATCAACCTTTTAACCACTACATTGCTGTGAGAAATTGTTAAACTTAAAGACTATTTTGGCTTTAAATAAAAATATTAGTCTCTGCCTTTATGTTGCTTGGAGAACTTTTAATAATTAGCTCACACAGTAAACTATATGAATTAAATATTTCAGAGCCAAACATGCAGCAATAGTACAATAATAAATATAGATATCAAATCTATGCAGCAGAAATTTATAGAAATGTACATACAAAGTTTGATTTTACAGATGAAAAGTTAAAATTGCTGCATGATTGGCTTAAATATTTTCTGATATAGACCCCTTGAATGTTTAAATTAACATCACTCAATGACATTGTAAGAATAAGAATTTGTAGTGTTGGGAACTTCTAAATGCTCATAACTAGTCTTGCCTTGTAAAAAACTTGTGTATAAAAGCCTTAAATGTAGCATACACATGTACGTGGTGTAATACTTAAAGTCTAGAAATTATTTAAAGCTGTTCATATGTATACAATTTTGTTCACTCATCATTTTAACAGTACAAAAAGTGGATTACTTGGCTTGTCAAGGACTTGACAAACTTCAAGAGAAAGCCCCTGTCATCAAAAAGACACCTGAACAGGTACAGAAACCTAATACTTCTTTTGTAGTTCTCTCATAACACATAAAAATTTTAATGGAAAAATATGAATATACATTGTAAGTAAAGGGTCACTCACAAATAAATTAAAGTTGTCCAAATAATTTTTTAAATTTCTTTTTGTATAATAAAAGTAATATTATAAAAAACAAACAATTGTGTATGATTGCCAGAGTTTTGAAGTGAGGGAACATTAGGGGAAAAGTGATCATTGCATAATTAGGTCTGATGTTTTGATACACTACCTGGTGATATGAAAAGAATTGAAATATTTGAGAACCTGATTTTCAGGAACTAACTTAGAAGCCATAAGACAAAGTTTATCATTAATGCATCGAGATAATGAGTTAAAATATAATGTACAAAAATTATATTGAAGGATGAGAAAAATAAAAATAAATTAATTTTAATTCAAGACAGTCTTGTTCCTAAAAAAAGGGAACAGTGATAACACAAAAGATTAAACTTGATTCACTAACTATGGATTTATGTGTATATATATATATATATATATATATATATATAATATAATAAAGTAAAGAAAGTTACGTA